GGGGGAAAAAAAGTTCAACCTGCAAGAGAAAGGGATGAAATCTGTAATGGAACAGGACAGGTTGCTTGGTATATACAGACTGATTGAAAATAATCAATCTTTTCCTTATTTTCTGCACTTTAACCAGCTCTCCTTTGCTGAAAGAGTGCAGATTTGGAGTAGATATCAGGAAAAAAATCTTGACTGTGAGGGTGGTGAGGCCCTGGCACAGAGGGCTCAGAGAAGCTGAGGATCCCCCATCCCTGGCAGAGCCAGATTATCATACTGGTCTGGGGATTGTGGTGGAGATTTATTAAAAGGAAAGGTGATGGATGAACCTTCATCAGTGGCAGGATGGAGCTCTGGAATGAAGCTGCAATGCTGGATTTGGAAACCAGGCAACATCTGCAGGGATGGGTCATAATGTGCCATGGAAAAACAGAATTGCTTTAACTGATGATTAAAAAAGAGGATATGATTAAAACAAGCTGATTAGATGAAACCAAAGTGACAAGACAAAGCAGCAGGGCATCCAAGAGGGGAGGGGGGAGACACAGCTGATGGCAGTGGGGCATGAATTATTGATTGAAATCTCCACCAGAAGTCTTTGCATTTTCTTATCTGGGAAGGGAGAGAATGAATGAGAAGTGAACAGAATTATTAAGCAGCTTTATCATTGCATTGGAGTGGATAATTAGGCAATTAGGATTACTAAAAGTTGGCAAAGCAAGAGGCCCTGAGGACTTGTGCTCCTGATTTCAGAGGAGGGTGGAGAGGGAAGCAGGGAAGAGCCTTTGGAGAGAGGTTTGTGGTGCCTTGTGGTGAGGCTGAAAGGCAGAGCCAGGCTCTGGCAGCCAGCCCCTGCAGCTGCCAGCACAGAGGGGGCACAGGAGACCTGGAAAATGAAAAAGAACTTGTCTGAGGATGGACAGTCCTTGGAGCAGCAGCAGGGAGGGAGATCAGGAGTGAAGGCTTCAACATAAAAGGGATCTGGACCCAAGTGAGTCCAGAGGAGACCACAGAGATGCTCTGAGGCTGGAGACAGCCTGGGAGAGGTGGGGGTGTCCACTTTCTGATGTTGGGCATGCAGTGCCATGTGCCCTCAGGTGTCACTGCTGTCCCCTCTGAGCCTGCACCTGCCAGGACCTGAGCTTCCACAGGGGCTTTGCTCACAGGGGATTGTGACTGTCCCTTTGGGCCAGGTCCCTCCCAAAAGGGCCAGGCAGACAGCACAGGCTGCTGCTGCAAATGAACCCCACATTCTTCTCTTCTTTGAGAGCTTCTGAATAGCTGCTGCACATTTGGAAGGGCAAAGCTGGGTGAAACTGCCTAAATAGCACCTTGCATCTCTAACTGTCTGAACTCATCCTGGGCTGCTCTGAGGCCAGGGCCAGACGTGTGTGCTCCTCCTCTGTGCTCCTGACTGGCTTAATCTTAAGCTATATGTTATTTAAAATCCATTTGCAGAGATGCAGACATTATATAAATCACGGAGGAAATGTCAGATTATGTATGTAATTTGCTGAAGTGCTCCACACTCATCTTGCTTAGCTCCCCATGAAACCAAGGGATCAAAATTAAGCTGAGGCAGAGGGTTTGGACCAGTCACCATCCTGGAAGTGCTGTGGAAGATGAGCCAGCACTGCAGACACTCGCCAGTAATTCACACCCAGAGACTCTTGGAATTTCTTCAGGCCATTCAGCAATCAGAGAAAGGAGGAATAAAGGGGATGATGAAAAATACACGGACTAGAGTATTTCTTACTAATTATTTGCTTGCCCTCATTGGCAAGTCACCTGGTGTTCTTGGAGAGTGCAGCATTTTCATGGGAAGGTGCCAGCCACAACGTTCCTCTCCCAAGATGAAGCCAGAATATTAATTATGGATTCTGTTGTATAATTAGAGTCTGAAGCCCAGAATTAATTGATGGTAGCTGCTTAGCACAGATATCAGTCCTGCCTTGGAATAATGCTCTGTCTCCTACCCACACACAGATGGGTAAGTCACTGGAGCAGCGAGTGCTCAGTTTTGGTGACACAGGGGTTTGTGATCTCCTGCCAGGTGTCAGAACAGTGCATGGGTGACATGCGAAGAGTTTGTAATTCATGGTAACCCAGTGCTCCTTGACTTGTCCTGGCCCCAGCCTGACAGGGCTGGGACCCTGGCTGTGGCAGCTCCACACTCTCTGCTCCTTCCTGGTGCAATCCTGCCAGAGCACTGAAGGGTTCCTGACCTCCTGCCTGAACCTCATTGATTTGGGGCCATTATTTTCCTCTAGCAGAGGTCAGAGGCTGTGGCTGCATTAGAACATCCCCTGGAGAGGCACCAGGGAGAATCACCTTGGGTTGTTTCTCCCGTGGCCTGGTTTGATTTCCAAGGGCACCTCACAGCTGAAAACAAGGCTGGGTTTAATAACAAACAAATGTGTAATAGCAAATAAAGATTTGTACTGTGGAGCTGGTGGGCCCCAGCAGGCCTGCTGCTGTTGTTTGGTGGAGCAGAGGGGAACAAAGCCAGCATCTGTGTTCATTAAAAATAGGTGATAGAATATTCTTAGCTCAGCCTCTGCCTTGGCAGAAATACTCTGGAGTTAATTGCTGCTGTTGTTCAGCTCAGGAAAGTGGGTCAGCTGTTGGTGAGATCACTGATCCCATGGAATTGTTGGGAGAGGTGTAAAAATAGGCTTTGTGCTCAGCTGGGGTTTGGGCCAGCTGAGCACTGCAGGTGTGGATGCTGTCCCCAGCCCTGTGAGTCTGTGTGGCTGAGCCACTGTCACCACTCCTGGCAGGGTCACACCTGGAAACCCAGCCCAGGGCAGCCAGGGGTTTCCTTCCTCTCTGGGATTCCTCTGGGAATCCTGCCACTTTAAAGCTGAACTGGAAAACTGATCATCCTATATGGATTGATCAATGGCCTTTAACAAAGAAAAAAATTGAATATCCTTAAAAGATTAGTAAAGGAACAATTGCAGCAAAGTCACCTCGCCCCTACGAATAGTGCCTGGAGTTCACCAGTATTCTCATCCACAAGAAATCAGACTCCTAGAAGTTACTTCATGGCCTGAGGAAGATCAATGAAGTGATTGAAGACATGGGACCTCTTCAACCTAGATGTCCTTCTTTATCAATGATCCCAAAACACTGGCCACTCGTTGTAATTAATGTAAAAGACTGTTTTTTCCATATCCCACTTCGTCCTGATGATGCTCCAAGATTTGCCTTTTCAGTTCCCATCATCAATCAGAGAACCCATGCAGAGATATCACTGAAAATCATTGCCCCAAAGAGTGAAGAATTCACCTATAATTTGTCAATATTTTGTTGCACAGACTTTGTCTCCAGTTTGACAGAACCTCAAGCTGCACCAAGGGAAATACAGGTTGGATATCAGCAAAAATTTTTTACAGGAAGGGTGATAAAGTTCTGGAATGTCTGCCCAGGGAAGTGGTGCAGTCACCATCCCTGGGTGTGTTTAACAAAGCCTGGATGTGGCACTGGGTGCCAGGGTTGAGTTGAGCTGTTTGGGCTGGGTTGGACTCGATGATTTTTAAGGATTTCCAGCCTTGTGATTCTGTGAATCCAGGGCATGCAGGCTTGGGCTGGCAGAGGAGGATTGTGGTGGCACCTTCATAAATTGAGTTTTGTATGGCTTAGCCTCTGCAGGCCAGGACTGATGGTGGGAAGAGCTGATAAAACAAGACCTCTTGTCCTCTTCCAGTGCTGTGTGTGTCCCTCCCCTGGGTAATTCATCTTTTTTCTCAGCTCCCCATCAGAGATAAGTGCACCTGTGCCTCTTCCACATGTGTTCACCTTTAGCTAATTTGGGATCCTTCTGTTTGGAAGGTGTTATGTTGCTAACACTTGAAAGGGAGCATTCAGATGGCTTTGAACTTGTGCTGTGTCTGAGACATAAAACAGCCATTTGCTGCTGGCCCTCCCGTGCCCCCTCCCCATCACAGAAAGGCTCCTTTCAGAAGGGTGCTCTGAGTGCTGCAGACACTGATATTGCTAATTCTGGCTTTGAAGGGATGTTTCATAACAAAGCAGGCTTGGAAATTGGGTCTAAATCCATAAACTTCATGTTACATTTGGGATTTAACATGCCCTGGAAGAAATATCCCTCAGAAGGACATTGCTGCATCCCAGAGTCCCCTGTGCCTTTAGCATTGTCCTCCTGGAGAGAGGAGAATCCTTGAAAAAACACAGTTGCTGAGCCCCCCCAAAACCCAATATTTAACTGCTTATTGCCTCTTACCTAAGAGCAGGAATTTGTTAAAATCCTGGTGGATCCTTGTGGGCATTTTGCCCTGCAGACACACCCAGTGCCTGTTAGTGACTCCTGCACCCCCTGCTCAGCCCTTGCAGCTCTTTGAGATCAGTGAATATTCCATCCCAAAGCACCTGCCATTACACAATTTTGATTCTCAGCTGTGATATTTCATATTTTATTTACCCGTCAGGAGAGGAAAGTGGCAGTGCTGGCAGTATAAATCTGCTTGGGTTTGTCCTTCAGCCCCTCCACTGCCATCCCAGCCCTCTGGAGGCTTCCCAGAGCAGGCAGTGGCTATTCCAGAAAATAAAAGGCAGTGAAAAATACATTTTTTAGCTGTTATTACAGGCTATACAAAATACAGGAAGCATATCCACACAGAGGAGGCCAGTGGAGGGGATAACTGCACTGAAAGCTTTTCTCCTGGTCAGACACCCCGGTGTTTGTTTGAGAAGTGATGGTCAAAAATCCACAACCTGAAATACTGGTTTTTATTTGCCTTTTTAAATCACTCTGAAGATGGGAATTGCTCAGCCAAAGGTGAGATGCTTGCCTGCCAACTCACTCCAAGAGTTTCTTGTGTTGATTTGCTGCATTTGCTTTTTCTCATGAATGAGAAAAGAGGAAATCTAATATTCAGCCTTATCAGCTTGTCAATTTAATTGCTGTCTATTTTAATGTTATCACTATCACTTGTTACTAATTAATAGAAGCAACATGATTGCAGCTTTTATTTTTCCTTATTTTTCAGTGAGAAGCTGGATGGAGAAGCTGAAAGATAAGGTAGGAGGCTCAGTCTTTCAGTTCTTTTCAAAGCAAAACCACTTTTACTTGCAGGAATAAATAAATTCTTGTCAGTGCAGTTTTTTATCTCTATACAGACCGTTGAGAAAGGGCTGAAAATTTTTTTTCTGGGAGGCAAATGAACCAGATGCTGCTGGTATAGAGTGGTGTGAATCCACAAAACATCCCTGATGGGTTGGAACTAAGGGCAGGAGGGACAGAAGTGTTTGATTGATTTCTCTGCACCAGAAAATGACCTTGTCAGATAACCCAAGTTACTTTTTTTTTTTTTTATATTTCCCCTTAACTTATCCTAGAATAGTTTTGGTTGGAAAGGACCTTTGGGAGTCCATCTAGTCCAGCCCCTCTGCACTGAGCAGGGATATCTTCACCAGACCAGGTGTTTAGGACCCTGTCCAGCCTGACCTGGAATGTTTCCAGGGACCCCAGGGTAAAGAACTTAGTTCCACCCCTTTTTCTCTAAGTGCTGACTCAGTTCTGGATGCAAATCAAGAGGTTCTGGTGCTGTTCTCTGGTAAGAGGCTGCAAATCCCTGCAAGGAGAATGATCAAACACAGCAAAACTGCTAAACAAGGTCCCAGCCCCTGATCCTTCCTCCTGGCACCCCAGGGGCTGGTCCATGCAATCCAGAGCTGTGCCAGCCACAGGCTGTGGTGGCTTTTTGAGCTGTGCTGCCCCGGAGCAAATATTGACATTTCACAATGGCTGTGAAGCCTTCCAAGTGTTGTGTTGCTGACAGCAGAGCCATGAAGCTGGAAATGAGGCGACAGCAAGAACATTTTCTGTCTCAGCAGGCCTTGGAAATTCTTGAGGAGGGTCAGAGTCAGCAGAACAAAAACCATCACAAGGAGTGGGAGTGATCTCTGGAATCCCATCCCTAAGCTTAGGCAGACTCGCCCGGCCAGCCCAGTGCCCCACACCAAATTTCAGCAGCACTTTTACCATCAGGGCAGAGCACAGAAACAGGGCCTGGGTCTCTGTTTGCCAGGACTGGGGGGTGGGAGGGGTTCAGGTGGTTCCTGCCCAGCCTTGCTGAGTTGCCTTTCTGCCTGCACTAGGAAGGAGACAAGTCTAGAGCAGGTCTAGAGTCTCCTTGGCCTGGGACTGATCCAGAGCAGATGCTGAAAGGACAGGGAGTGGTTTTCCCAGCCAAGGTAAAGAGGCTGGCTGTGTGCCTGGAGGGATTGCAGCATGCACAGGTCACTGCTCGTGCCAGCACGTGGCACAGCTCCAGCTTGGGGACAGCAGTGTCTTCTCCCTGAAGCTGTCGCTTGTTTTTCCTCTTGTCACCTTGTTGGCCACCTCTGTCCTGCCCTGTTGCAGAGGGGCTGCATGTTGCTGTCTCCAGCAGAGTCTGAACCTTACGCAGGCAGACCCTGGGCTGTGTGGCAGTGCCCAGCACTGCTGTAGCTGAGGATCCACTCCAAAGAGAGACTCACTCCCGAGCCACCTCCCTGCTTTGGCATCTTTCACCTGGCTCACATTTTCCCTTAGAAAAACCCAACAAAAAACACTTTCCCCCCACTCCCAACCAGTTGCTGGTGTCACAAATCACTTCCAAACAAACCTGTTCACCATTCAAACTTATTCACCCCATTCCCTCCTCCTCCTGAGTTTATCAGCACCAGTCTGTGTGCCCCTCTCCTTTGCCCCATCCTCTGTTTTATAATCCCTCCACCCAGATGAGGATGCCAGCTCATCTCTGAGAGAAATGTCCTTCCCTGTCCCTCAGGTGGGGCTGTGGGACCAGGAGCACAGGGTCAGGGACAGATTTATGTCTGGCCTCCTGCAGTCACTGTGCAAATGCTGCATTTGGTGGGGCAAAGAATGGACATGGAGTTCCTCTCAAGTTCTCTTGCTGTTATCTCAAAGCCCAGCAGGGCCAGGAAGGTCCTGAGCATGGACTGGGTGTATTAAAGCATCCCTAAAGAAGCTACATTTTCCACATAAAGGGGTGAAAATATGGCTTTGGCCTGTGAAATGGGGTTTTTCTATCAAGAAAGTGCAGAAGCCCTTAGAAGCTGGGCTGCATGACACACAAGGGCTGGATTTGCATCACATCACAGGTTTTTGGGGTATAAAACATTGATCTGGGGGCTGGGGGAAACCTGTAAAAGGCCATGGGCTGGTCAGGTGTGATAAAGGCTCACAGACAGGCTGAGGAGTTCATTGTGATTTCTGACATGGAAACTCAGCTGGGCAGCAGCTCAAAGCCGTTTGCAGCCTCCCCTCACTGCCCATGCCAGCAGCAAAGTTCCAGAAATAGAAAACCTCACACTGCACTAATTAGGTCACCCAATTAAGGCACCTTAATTGCCTCACAGAGACAGAGCCTTCAGCTGTGTCCTCACTAACCTGCTTTTTTGGGAGCTGGGCTCAGGCTGCAGCCCCTTCCCAGCAGCTGAGCTGAACAGGGCTGGGTGTTCTGGGAGGGGGTTCAGGGAGTCTGAACGATGCAGATGAAGATCCCTCAAGCTTTGGGATCCACACAGAGGAGCTGTTACTGTTCAAAGCACTGAGTGGGATCTGGAAGGGCTTGGGGGAGCACACCAGTCCTCCTTGGCACTGAGCCTGCCCCAGCTGAAAGCTGTTATTGTCATTCTCCAGGTAGGTGTACACAGGCAGGCTAATGCACCTGAACAGCTTTGCTTTTTTTTTCTTTTCCCTCCCACTCAGTGGATGATGGAAGAGAAGTAATTATGGTGTGTGTGTGGTGTTGTGAGAGCACAGATGAAGACAGGTGGTTGTAAGCAATGGGCTGAGTCTCGCTAGGAGCTGTCTGACAGTCCTCAGAGGTGGTGCCTGTGTCCCTTGGCAGGTGTAAAATCGATTTTTGGGGGGTGTAGCAGGCAGAGGGTGAAGCTGTAGTGGCACAGCAGAGGACTGGAGCTGCAGTGTGAGGAGAGGCAGAGCTGCAGAGGGGGAGCCAGGCTGTACCTGCCTCCCTTGCCACTCTGAGCCCACCAGCCCAAATTAGCTGAGGATTCTGAGGCAATCTGGCACTTTAAAACTGAGGTTCCTTTTCATTCAAAGCAGTGAAATAAAATAGCAAGCAGTTGGGAATATTGTCCTAAGGATTTAGAGTGTTTAGATGTGTAACTTTAGATTAGCCATGCTGTCTGTATTTTTTGTTTTAATGGGCAGTGCAAACACACTGATCACAGCCATTGAATTAGGGCTGGTTAATTTTGCTGTGCTCCCCTTAAGGCCACCTGAGGGTGTGAGTGCCCTCCCTCTGTGTCACCATCCTGCTGCCATGCAGGGGACCCCTTCCCATGCAAATCCAAAGCGTTTGGCTCAAAGATTTTGAGTACAAAGCCGAGGAGGCCTCAGATCACCTTCCTTTGGCAGCCAAGGTTTTCCTTCAAAACAAAAAAAACCACAACCAGTTGCTGGTGTAGCAAATCCCTTGCAAATAAACCTTTTGACCCCATTCCCTCCTCTTCCTAATTGAGTTTATCAGCACAGTCTGACATGCCCCTCTCCTTTGCCCCATCCTCTGTTTTATGATCCCTCTACCCAGATTCCAGCACACAATGGCCCATCTCTGAGATATAGGCAGGCAGTGCAGGGTCTCAGCTGTCACCAGTAAATGTCTGTCAGGAAAAGCTGAGTTGTGCTGGTGACCAGCTGGCTCCTGGAGTGGGGAATCATCCCATGCAGGCAGGAGATGGGGGCTCAAATCCAATGAACTTTGAGGAAATGACCATAGGGATGCATTGCAGTCCTTGGCTGGTGAAAATGGCTCTGAAAGGATGGTTATGGGGGTGTTGCTCTGCTTCTCTCCTCCATTTAGGCAGGATACATGTCAGGGATGCTGGTTCCTGTGGGAGTTGGAATAGCTGGAGCTCTCTTCATCCTGGGAGCGCTCTACAGCATTAAGATGATGAACCGCCGGAGGAGAAATGGCTCCAAGAGGCACAAAAGGAAGGTATGGAAACTGCCAGGGGAAGGTATGGAAGCTCTGAACCCTCCTGGCTGGAAGGCAAACTCAGCCTGGCTGGGGTCTGAGCTGGGGCACCTCGGTTATGGGATGGGGGCATCTGAATATTCTCCATCTGGTTCCTTTTTGCACGTGCACTGTGAAAAACGCCAGTCACTTGTTTTTAAAAGTTTAAAAGGTTAATAGTAATAAAATGGTTATAAAAATAGTAATATAAAATAGTAATAAAATGGTTATAAAAATAGTAATATAATTAGAGTAATAAAAATTTGAACAATTGAGATTAGGATGAGACAATAAGAACAAAGAGTTACGGACTGTCCGAGTACCCTTTCTGGGCAAAATAAGCCCGAAAAAGGACACACGTTAACAGAGGATTAACCATTAAAAACTATAGCCTGTTGCACATTCATACACCTCATACATGATGCATAAATTCCATTCAAACACAGGATTTTGTCTGGTCAGTGTCAACTTCTTCCTCTTAATCCTAACGGGGTCTTCATGGCTCAGCAAGATGGGAAGAAGTTAGTTTCTTCTGATAATGGAGCAATACATTATTTTTCTCTGAATGATTTAGGTGTCCTTTGACTGCTATCTGGTGTGAGTACCTCATTCCTTTCTTAAAAAAAACCCCACAAACATAGTTCCTATTTTAACTACAAAAGTTCCCTTTTAACTATAAAACTACATTTACCACACTGTTAAAATGTCAATACAGCACTGCTAATCAGTACAACATAATACATATGGTGAATATCTGCGTAGAACCATATAATATGCACTTTTCACGTGCCCCTCTCTGATTTTTGCTCTCCTCCCCAGCAGAGGGAATTTAACAGCATGCAGGACCGAGTGATGCTCTTGGCCGACAGCTCTGAGGACGAATTTTGAGAGGAACTGCAGTGCCCTTGGGAGAGCCCGTGACTTTTCAGAGGAGGGAGAGAGGGGGAGAAGAAGAACAAGCGACTTTTCTGCTGCAGTGCTGCTCCCTCGGCTGCCCCGGGCAGGGGTGGTGTCCCCAGCCCAATGACAATGACAATGCTATGCTCTACGTGTGCCACCCGTGGTGTTTGTTTTGATACAGTAGTGGAGATCTCACACTCGCCCCCGGCGCCTCATTCAGAGCCACAGCTGGAGCTGATCCATGTGGATGATTATTTTTCCTCTTGCCCTGGTGTACTGTTTTGGTCCTGGCTGGCAGTAATCTAATCATAACAATAGCTCTCACCCATCCCAGGAATGGAAATCTTTACTGTGAATGACTTCTGTCCAGTTCATTTTAAATGTTACATTACCTGAGCTAGAGTTCCTTAGTGCTAAGATTAGCTGCTCTGCTTAATTAATGAGTTGTAAGCCTGACCTGTGCCCCTGGCTGCCTGAGAAGTGCCCATGTACAGGGCTCTTGATACAGTTTGAAGCACATTTCTGCCCTTGGGTGCCCCCACTCTCACTCCTTTCTTCCTTCAGCTCTGCTCCACACTGCTTGGAGACACGCAGGAATGGCCTCAGCATTGATTCCTCCTCAAAATTCCCTGTCCATTCCCAACCAGCACTGTCTGTTACAGCACAATAAATACCAGCACTCACCTACTGATGGCTGCTCTTGCCTGCATCTCTTGGCTTCTGCTCAGTGTGCAAGGAGGTGAGACAAGAGGCAGGTCAGAGACTCCCCCAGCTTCTGCCTCCTCTTGGAAGGACACTAGCTCCAGGTTCTTCTCTTTCCAAGGCTGCATTCCCATAGGGATGAGAGTGGAGCCTCTGAACCCCTTTACCCCACTGGAAAATGCATTTTCAGCCCCTGAAAGCTGCGTGAACAACAGCAGCTTTGGGGGATCTGGATGGATGGGTCTTGTCTCACAGGATCACAGAATGGTTTGGGTTGGAAGGAAGGGACTTCCAAGGCACCTGGTGCCTTCCACTATCCCAGGTTGCTCCAAGCCTCATCCAGTCTGGTCTGGAAAACTTCCAGGGATGGGCAGCCACAGCTTCTCTGGGCAACTGGATCCAAACCATGGAATGCAGAAAGGCACTAAAGCTTGGGGAGCAGGTGCAGTCACTGTTGAGGGATTCCTGGCTAACAGTGGGAAAACAGCAAGAGCTGGAGAGATGTCAGCTGTGGTGGGGGGTGAGATGATCCCACTGGGAACCCTTGGCTGTGGGGAGAAAGGTGAATTTGTAGCACAGATGGGTGCAGGGGGTTGTGGAGGTGCCCTGTTAGTCCTGAGGGGGCTGAGAGGGACACAGTGCTTGAGGTGTCAGAGGCATTGAGCAGGGGAGAGTAATGTAGCTTTGCCCAGAAATGCTGTCAAAACAGCCAGGAAAAGGGCTGCACTATTGAGCTCTGCTTCCCACTGTGGAATTACTTTGATCTGACATGCAAAACATCCGTGTTTCTGAGGTGGGAATCCATGTTTCTGAGGTGGAAATCCATGTTTCTGAGGTGGGAATCGTTCTGTGGGGAATCATCCTTCCTGCAAGGAACAGTGACTGATGCCAGAGGAGAAGTGAGCAGAAAAGTAAGGGCAGACCACACATCTGCTGAGATTCAATCCCTCTGAGCCCTTGGAGAAGTGGGAGGGAGGGGATGTTGAGGAGGGACAGGAGCAGGATTTGGTTCCCTGTGGAGGTGGAAAGGCCTGTCAGATGGTGGGGAAATGTCTTGTGGAAGTGTCAGTGGGATTGCAAGGCAGGGAGGACTTTCAGGAGCCCCTCCTGAGGTGAGCTCGCTCTCTCTCTCTCTCTCTCGGGTCAGGGCCTGCTCTGGACATTAAATCATCAGGTGTGATGGTCAGCTCTGAAAAAACAATCCTGAGCACGGTCCTGAGCCTGTGACCCCCACTGGGTCACCTGGATGAGGATAGGTGGGACACCCTGGTTCCAAAATGCTGTTCTAATGCTCAAGTCTTCCAGTCCAACAGCTGTGTGTGGTACCTCAGTCACTCATCGTGCTGGCTGCGTGGGGAGCAGGCTGGGGAGACAACATTTTTGGGGGTGGTGGGGTCTTCCTATCCCACAGCCAGGGCTCCACAGTGCACCTCTGCCTTTTTGTTCCTGAAACATCAGCCAGGAGGGTTTTGCCTTGCTAAAAGCAGCCCCACATCTTCAACAGGCACTGACTGGCAATGCACCATGAAATCCAAAATTCAGGCCTCTTTCTCACACAGTAAGTGGTCACTCCAAGTTAAGATGAAGTTTTCCCTCCAGAGTGATCTCTCCCTATTTCCTTCTCATTCCTAAATTTGGAGGTGCTTGGGAGGTGTTAACAGTGCAGTGATCATTCCTGGCTCTCTGGCACTATTGGGAATTGGGAAATACTGTCCCTTGGGCTCTTTGATGATTTATTCCTGGTCAGGCATGATGGGGATTTCAAGGTGGATATCTGATGAAATATCTGGTAAAACACAGAGCTGCTGGGTCAGTCAGGAGGAGGAGGAGGGATGGCTGAGGAAGGCTGCTGGGTTAAGTAGCCCAGCTCTGGCAGCTCAGGAGGATCCTTAAGGATGGCTTGTCAGTTTGATGGGTTGGGAAGGCAGGTGGGGAGGTGCTGTGGCCTTTTACTGTGCTAATAATTCCCCAGTTTGGGAAACATTGCCTTTCTGCAGGGGCAATCAGTTTCCCTGGCTCTCCCTCTTCAGCATAGAGAACTTGAGGAATTAAAGGCAACTCTGCCAGTCAGAAAGATGGAAGTGGGGTTTTACTGCATCTCTGGGGGGCCCTGGTGTCCTCAGAACCAGAGAGGACATGGCAGGGGTGGCTTGGATGCTGGAAGTCGACAAGGAAGGGAGGCCCAGCTGCATGCTCAGTTCAGTGTGGGCTCTCTGGTCTCTGCTGGAGACAGGATTAGGAGTTAGGTGGACTTCCCAAAGGTTTTTCTTGTGATCTGTCTGCACTGCCAGGCCTGACTCTGGCTCCGAATCCTTCACCCAAGGATGGGAGCTGAGCTTCCCGAGCTGCCCAGCAGTGCAGAGATGCCAGCTGATGGCCATTTGGAGGGCAGCTTTCTGTGGAATAGTTGGTTTTGGTCAGCCCTGGAGGGTCCCCATGTCTTCAGCTTCACCTGGAAGCAAGGGGGGCAGTCAGAGCCAGCTGTGGCTCGAGGGAAGCTTGTGGGAGTCTTGGGAGCTCAGAGTTTTCCTGCAGTGTCTGCAGGTCCTTGAAGAACCAGCACCACTCAGCCCCTTCCCTTCTCATTCAAGGCCAGTAGATTTTGGATTGGGCTCTTAAAAATATCCTCTGCACAGCTCCTGGAGTTGGATTCATTCCCTTGGGATGATCAGATGGCAGCAGGGAGGGCATGGGGGGTTCAGGTGGGAGCTGAAGCTCCAGTGGTCTTAACACTGCTGATTTAACCTTTACCTCTGCCTTGCCAAACCAGCAAGCAAACTTCTCTTTTGGAAGAGACAGGGCATGGAAAGCAGCCAGGAAGGGCCCTCCTCATCCTCAGTGCTGGGTGAACTGCAAGGCCCTGAGTGCTGAGGGTGGTGACATTGGCACAGCAATGTCACTGCAGCAATAACAACCCTGGACTCCACACAGGACCAGCCACTCACCTCCCTTTTGCATCTTCCTGATAGCACAAGGCAGAATTTCCTTGCAAGCACTGCACAACAGCTTTGGCATCTCCAGCCCCATTTCTGACAGGAGGAACCAGCCTGCCTGGCAGCTCTTGCCCCCTTGGAATGCACCTCCACCTCACAGCTGCTGATCCCTAAAGGTGTCTCTGGGGCCAGATGTTCACCCTGGTGAGGCTTCTCTGGACTGCTCTGCTTCCACAGAGAGGTGTGAGCAGTCCTCGTGCTTCCTCGTGGTTTTCTCTTGTGGACAGGAGCGGCTCCTCATCCTGTAACTGTGGAATGTAGCACTTTGTCAAAGGAAAACGTTGGGAAATAAAAAGCTGTCCATCAGAGCTGACTCTGAGTGCCTGTCTCCCTGATCTGTGGTTCATTCAGTGTCCCAGGCAAAGCTATGAAGTAGTGCTTGGAGGATTGAGTGTTGTGTTTTTTCTCCAGGCTGTGTGGTCAGTGCAAGGACTCAGGCTGGGCTTGCAGGGGTCACAGGAGCCGTGGGGAATGTCAGGCTGGACTTTTTGGGAAGGATTCACCTGGAAGTAGGTGTTTGCCTTAGGCTGTGATGAACCCAAAGTCCCTTGGTGTCTTGGTTTGGAAAGCCAGGTGTCTGCAAAGGGAGGCAGGAGCCTCCCCTGAAATGGAAAATGTAAAACCCCTCTCTCAGAATTGTTATAATTTTGAAATTGAGGGGCCCTCAGGCAAAGATACGGGAGCAGGAATAACCCTCAGGCACTTGCTTTGCAGTGGCAGGAATGAGCCCCAACAGTGACACCTCTGTGCACACCAGGGCATTTTTTCCTTCTGTTTTATCCTGTTTCTGATTTCTCTGTGCCCAGACTTTCCAACACCCCAGCACCAGGGTGTCTGCCTGCCCTTCTCCCATCTCCCTCCACCAGCAAGAGCCTGCAAGAGCTATTTGTCACTGTGTGTGTTTTATCTAATGGAAAATGGCTTGTTCAAAACAAGAAATTCCCAGGGAAATAGCTGCTTGGGGATTGCACGAACACAATCTTTGCTAATTGGTAGTTGCCAAAAACAATCTGTATATTCATGAAGCTGTTTGCTGCACTGCTGGCTTTTTCCAATGAAAAAACAAGACCTGCTGAAAGAAGATAAACAATGACAATGGGTTTTTTTCCCCTAGGTCTATTTCCTTAGGAAATTACTCTCTGTGATCTCGCTGCCTCATTCTGAGCTTCTGTCCATCAGCTGGTCTCCTTCTAATGTCCCTGACTCTGCCAGCCAAGCCAGGGGTTTGTGAAAATGGGGGAGAGAAGAATCCATAATTTAAAAAAAAAAACAAAAAAACCAACAAAACAAAAACAAAACCAAACCAAACCAAAACAAAAAAACCCCCCAAAAAAACCCAACAAAAAAACAAACAAAAACCAAGCAAAGTGTGTGTGGAGCTGTTCTGAGGCTGCAGAATTCCTGCATTTTCAGCATTTATATGTGGCCTGATGGAGAGGACAAGCTGGATGTCCTGGAAGTCATTGGGTTCCTGCCCTGTGTGGTTTCCTGGGGGCTGAGCAAAGCCCAAGGATGAGCTCAGCACTGGGCTCAGCCTATTTCAGTCACGAGCTGGACCCTTACTGTGCAGAGCAGCACAGACAGCCCAGCTTGGGGTTGTTTTCATCAATGTGTTTGGGAAGGACAAACCAAAGGCATTCCCTGCATGTTCTGGTGGCAAAGGCACACAGCAGGATCTGTGCCCAGGGACCAGGCACAAGAAACCTCCTTTATTTGAGGCAAATCTCATCCTCCCTCCTGTGAGACCCCCTGCACATGTGGGGGTCACAAGCACTTTAAGGTGCTCAGAATTTCAGTGCACAGGGAATTTCAGTTCACTCTCAGCTTCCTTAAGGCTCACAGAGGGCTCCCCTTTTCTTTTTCCATCCCAAGGGAAGGGTCTGGGTCTCAGCCAGCAGCAGGAGTCAACAGAGTTGTTCCCAGCAGAAATGTTTCCTTTCTTAATGATAACTGCTGGGCACCCAGTGCAAATCCACGTGGTGTTTGCAACCCAAGCTCTCCACCTCCCAGGCACTATGTTTTTTTCTGATTTACTTTAAGTCTTTTTTGCTTAGGTGTTAGTCTGATTTCCTGGTAAAAATCTCTTCCCAGAGTGATGGAAATGTGCCATGCTCTCCTTCTGTCCTGAAAAAACTTCTTAGCATGGGCTGGAAGACCTTGTTCAGCAGAGCCTTGATGTCCAGGCAGGAACATTCATGGAAGGGGGAATTGTTCTCTTCTCCCAAGTAACAAGGGGAAATGACTCCATGTTGCACCAGGGGAGGTTTAGGTTGGATATTAGGAAAAATTCCTTCACAAAAAGAGTTGTTAAGCACTGGCACAGCTGCCCAGGGCAGGGGCGGAGCCCCCATCCCTGGAGGGATTTTAAAGCCATGTGGATGTGGCACTTGGGGACAGGGGTCAGTGGTGGCCTTGGCAGTGCTGGGGCAAAGGTTGGATTTGATCTCTGATCACTTTTCCAGCCTAAAAGATTCTGTGGTTCTCTGGCACTAAAAAGTTGCCAAAGACCTGAGCAGCTCCTGGCAGTGCTGGGCTGTGCAGGGACATAAATGGAGATTAATGGCAGCTTTTGACTCTCCTTTCCCAAAAATATACCAAAAAACTGCTGGGTCTTGCACATGGTGCATGACGAGGAGTGTTAACCAGCCAGCATTTGGGAGTGGAGCTGCACTTTTACTAATTTTCCAAATCTCTAATACAAAGTGACTGGAAGGGCAAAGTACAGTCAAGTGGCTCTTCACTAAGGATTTCATCTGAGGCAGAGGAAATGGAACTGGGCAACAAAGGAGGCTGATGATAAAAGATTTTATTTTTCTTTATGGAGGGAAAATTTGTAGTGTGTTAAAAAAATTTAAATCCCTGCAAAAAAAAAAAAAGTGACTGTACTCATATAAAAGGAAATTTAGAATTAAATCAATAATATCTGATGTAAATTTAAAACATCTTCCCTTATACAAGAAAAGTCTCAATAATGAAAACATTTCCTGACCTGGGATTTGCTGTCAAAATGTTTGGATCTCAGGATTTAACTGTACTTTAGATCAAGAAGCTGAAAAATCCTTATTTTAAATAATTTGACAAGTAGATCTTTTTTCAATTTTAGCTCTTTTCCCAAGGTTCATTCTTGCTGGTCAATATGCCCTTTAAAAGTTATTGACTTGCCTCTGGAAATCATCTGCCCATGGAGCTGTGCTTTATTCTTTCCATAACTTAATCTGCAATTATGGAAGCAATATCAGGATTTCTGATTTAATTTTTTTCCCTCAGATTATTTATACTTTGCATTTTTAATATCAAAAAATAACAAATAACAGTCTTCCATTCCCTTGACTTACTGCATTACATTCCTGTCTGGTTAAATCTCACATGGATACAGGCTGAAATTCGACTGAAATACCCAGAAATTGGATTTTTGTTACAAGAGCAGCAGCAGGGCTGCAGAATGGGAGCTGCAGTGTTGCGTGAACATCCAGGATGGGTTTGTGGTGACAAACAAGGTAATTTGGGCCAAGGAGCTGTTTTGTGAGATTAAATAACACACCAGCAATGTCAATCCTGCATCCCAGAGGAGTTTGGAGCTGCCCCCACTTCAGCAGGAGCAGGAGTGAAGAGTTAACTAGAAAAAAAATTGATATTATACTCAAGACACAGCCAGGGCCAAGGAGACCTGCATAAAACAACCTCTGGTCTTGGGTTTAAAATAGGAAAGAGGGAGGAAATAAAATGCATCATTGACTCCAGGCTGGAGAGGGAAAGCTGAGCTGTGCCTCAGTGCTGGGCACATGGAATTTATTTATGGGCAGCAGGGTGCCAGGTCTGCTCCTCTGGACCATGGGTTGCATGAGAAATGGTGGCAGAGTTTTGTTGGGTGCTTTGTCCTTGCTGGAAGAGACAGAAAAAGCTTCCAAAGCCACCATGGCTCTCAGGATCTGCCTGCTGGGCTGCAGGAGGGGGATGCACAGTCCAGGGAAGACTTTCCTCTAAAATTGAAAGCGAAGAATGTGGCTTAATAGCATGAAAAAGAACAGGCTAATCAAGGGATTTGGCTGCATGCAAGCTGTACATCAGCTATTAAAAATAAGTATTTAATTGGATATTTGTTTTTCTGTCAGCATGCTGGGCTTAAAAATATACAACTATTACCCTGAAATATCTGAGTGTGGAAAGGAGATGAGGCTGTGGAAATATTGAGATAGGAAATACATGGGGGGATTTTTTTTGGATAGCAGAGTACAGACTTTGAGGAGACAGGAAATAGGAAAAAGATATTACAATTTTCCATTTATCTGGTGAGCCAGAGCAGGGCTTGTGGTGCTGAATAGCATCTACATTATGAGAACCTGCACAAGACTCTTCTGGACAGAAACTGGCAGAAACCAGCCTGACAGAAACCTGGAAATAAAATCTCAGTGTGATTGCTTGAGAGCTGCACTGCCATGGCAAACCCTGAGCCCTGGCATTGGTGCTCATGAGAAAACCACAGTTTGGGAATTTTCTGTGGAAGAGGGGTCTCAAGTATGGAAATAAAATGTTGGTGTGGTTCTGTGGGCTGAACTCTGAATCTGAAGAATAGTGAAGTGAAGGAAAGGCTCTTGCTTACCTGGCTGTTCTTGAGGTTATAAACCCATGGCCACTGCTTGTAAGACAAATTTGAAGCAAAATATGTAATTTTGGGTCTAGTCAGCAGTAAATGAGTGTACGACATCAAAAATTGATGCAGTGGAGAAGGGAAGTGGGTGCAGTGATCTTGCCTGGATTTAGCAAGTGACCCTGAGCACTGGAAATGCTGCAGATGAATTAAAATCTGCATCCAGCAAACCCAGGGACATTGCCATGGAGCTGGCTGGACCTGCCACGCTTCAGGCAGCAATGGAAACATTTGCATGGCCATGTAACTACAAGAGACACTGCCAGTGTGAAGCGTCTGGGCAGGGACACCTTCCACAAATTCATTTTAAGTTGGTTTAAGAGATGGGGAGGGCATGCCCTGGATAGGTAAAAGAACCTGGCAGAGATTTGGTCATGGCTGAGCATCCTGGCAGGTCTTGTGCTACCTGGGAGGAGGGAAACTTGTTTAGGAGAGAAAAGGATGTCTCTGCTTTTGGGAGAGCAGCAGGGCACGAGAAGCCAAGCCCTGGCTGGGATGCTGAGACTGAAGGTCCTGCCACAAGATTGCTAGGTGATCCACTACCAAGTTTATTTCATCAGCCTTGGCTTTTCCCTTTCTGAGAGGAAAAGTCCCTGACATGCTCATGTCCATCTGCCCAGGACAGTCAGTGCTGCAGGCTGTTTTTTCCTAAATAGAAGTGTCAG